AACCCACATCGACAAGATTTGGCTTACGGCAGTTGTATAAACTGTTAGTCGGCATATACTTGTTTTGCATCATTGCATGCAAACTGATACAAAATGATGCACTTTGCATGATTAGTTCCGATTTCGTTTACACTAAACATGATCAATAACCATATTCCGTAATTTTTTCACCCTACCCGAAACAGCACTACAAATACATTAATGTGCAATTTTACGGTTATTGAAATAAATAATAAATAATTAAACTAAATTAACGGATAGGGTTATATATAAATATATTAGCAATATATTTCTAAATAATAATAATGAGAGAGAGAGAGAGAGTGTGGCGGCACGTCAACATGTTAACGTTAACGACACCTGTGAGCAGGTGTGTGAGCCACGCCCTCTCGCAGGTGAAGCGGCGGTGCGATCTATGTAGAGTTTGTTTTGTTGGGTCCACGTGCGCGAGTTCACTAACAACCGTCCACCACCACTACGCTCGCGCTCGACGCATATCCATGATAACATGTTAATATAGCGAAGTCATTAAAGTTACACAGCTGTATCTATTCTTTATTACTGTACTACTGTAAACAGGAATGAGCGTTCACGTAGAAATGATGAAGAAGATCCAAACTTGTGTGGTAAACTGTACAATCTTTAATACTCATACACTGTGTAGCCACATCATCAGTCAATCGCACAAACAGACAAAGAACGTGCACACGCGCATACGCGCGTGTGCTCAGCTCCGCGCCCAGAACCCCGAATCCAATCACCGCCAAGCTCTTTTCTCCTCCAACCAATCACAACCACCACTCTCTCTCTTATTCAAATTATTACGCGCGAAATGCACAGATGGCCAGCATCTGTACAAGTGTCAACCTAACGTCTGTAACCTATCTGCTAGTACCCAACCTAACTATTTCTAACCTATGTGCTAAACGCCCAACCCTTCTCTATGTACAACCAAACTATCTACGATTACTAATTCAGTGTAACATCTGTACAACATGTGTAAAAGAGACGTTACATTTATCTCCCCCTTCATCAAAACGATGATCCCATCATCGAATTCAGCGTCCCGCTGATCCAAATGTCCTGTTTAACTAACTCCCAAGCCCCCATATCTAACACACACACACACACATGCACACCTGTTCCTAACGAAATAGAGCCCAACATCACATAAATTCCTTCCTTTGTCTATCATACTGTCTACAATAACTCCTTCATTGAACACATCCCCCCTCCCCACATAATAACTGTACACAATTTTACACAACCTATTACCTATGGTACCAAAGCCAGCACCATGGTATCCCAATGCTATGGCTTCACACTGCTGCCAACAAAAATCTCACTGACCACAATGATATAAAACCATACTTGACACGAATTGCCAAGTAAACCATCTGTGCAATAATACAATTCCTTAAAAACCCTGAAACGAAACCTGAAAAGAGAGAAACAATACACAAACTACACCAACCCAATGCAACACAACAACTCAATAAATACCAGCACTGCATAACCCAGGCTTTCAGATTTGAAAAGTACAGGAGGACTACTAATGACTCCCCTAGGACACCATAGGGGGTCTTTTCACGCTCTTGAGAGGGGGGTCTTCTCACCCTTAAGAGGCATGATGGAGAGCTCCACTAAAAATCACACCCTTAAGAGGCATGATGGAGAGCTCCACTAAAAATCACACATTTAAAAGGGATGATGGAGAGCTCCTTGAGGGCTCTCCTTCATGCCTCTTGGGGTGTGATGATGGAATCATGACCAATCCTCAGTCTAGAGTGAAATCCAAAACGAAAATTGGGATGTCATGTCAATCTACTGATTATCATTCATCTTCACCTTCATTTATTCAATGGCTTCGTCAGGATTACAATTTACATTCTTTTCATCCAACAACCCAACACTAGCACACAGATTAATAAAAGATTTGATCGGATG